CGGAGCTGCTACCGGCCGGGTCCGGGCGCCGCTTCTCCGCGCGGGGCCTGGTGCGCGGGGCGGGCTGGGGCGCCGGGTGGGCGCGTGGGGGTGATGTCGGGCTCCGGACGTGGCCCGCGTGTCCGTGGCCTGCGCCCTTCTCTGCTGCCTCCGGGTGCAGACGGGCTCTTGTGGCCGCTTTCTTTGCGCCGGGTGCTGGCCCTTGCTGTTGAAGTTGCCGCGGGCCTGCTGCCACAGCTCGGTTGGGAGGGGAGATGGTCCATGCAGCTGGGCACGGGGGAAGCGGCCACCAGGGCGTAGGGGAGAGGCACACAGATGCCTGCCACAGCCAGGCTGCTGATTGCACCAGCTACATCTTTGTTAGGATGTTGCCTCTGCTGTGGGACTGGTTGAAACACTGTACTTAACACTCTGGAGGAAGTACATTATTGCATGCAAAAACTTCCCTGTGTACCTGGCCGCGCTTCTGGAGTAATGGAAATGGCTCCAGGACGGTACCCCTCCAGTCTCGGGACTGTCCTAACAGTCGCTTGCTTAGTCTGCAGATCATACTTTGTCGGTGATAAATAATGAAATTTTAAAGCCAGTCCCTTTTCTATTTAGGTAGATTGGCAAGGGCCTTAACTTGTTATTGGAATACATGCATTTGTAAATCATTGCAACTGGACCAGATCCAGCAGAGGGGATTTAAGGTTTATTTTAATAGCGGGGGAGGTGGGTAAAGAACAGTATTGAAAGTTGCACAGTTAGGAACAAAATATTTATTAGTGGAGAAGCGCTGCATGGTGGTTCAGACCCTGGAAAGGGAGGTTAGAGGTTGGACCTAATTCCCAGCTCTATCACATACTTCTTTCCTACAGACAAGTCACTTAAATCACTCTGTGCCAGTTTCCCAATCCATAAAGTAAAATAGCACTTCCCTACCTTGCTACATGACTATGTAGAAAATATTTGTACGCCAGGAAGGCATTCATATGTCATATATGAGAAAGTCGAACTCTTACACCTAGATATTGAGTCATCTTGGAGGCAAATAGAATTTAACAAACTACTTTAAACAATGAGGATTGAGGTCTCCTTTAGCTTTAAAATCTGCAGAAGATTACAGTGTCCCTGAGGATCACTGCAAACATGCGTATTAACAGTAACAAAGCAGTTACAAACCTTGCTCGGCCGTATTCCTGTAAACGGCACCAGATCTGCTTCATATGTCAGCAAGGACAAACAAGGTCACTTACTCCCCAGAGCACCACTCCATTAGATTTTAACTTTTGTCCTACTTCTGACATCTACTAGAGTTTCTTAGTAATTATCACTCTCTGAGCTTACATATACTTGGTATGATACATAAATCCCACCAGTATAAAAGCTCTGGATCTGGGACCTAGATTGGCAGCAGCAGTTTAGTGGAGATTTAAGAGGAATCATAGCAAAATGTTTGTACTGACCTAGAACCTTTCTGGCAAGGATTTCCACGCCTCTCACAAAGGAGTGGTGTCCTTGTTTCTTAGCTGGAGATGGAGGTGCAGAGGGGTTTGTGGTCTGTTAGAGATACTCTGATATTTTATTTATTTCCAAAGTGATAGTGTAAGTCACTGGTAGAGTACAGTATAGCATCTAGGAGTTCTGGATCCTAGAGTCCTCTGCTTGTCACTGGTCAAACCGTTGGTCAAAATGTGAAGCCATTTTGCCACTCCCAATCCCAGTCCTTGCCTGTGCGTCACATTTTTCAAGTGATGTGTTTTCTATTTACCATTTTTCTCAGAGCTGCCTTCACTTGGTAGTTCCTTAGGCTGTAGATGATTGGGTTTAACATGGGTGTTACAATGCAGTAGAGTGGAGACCAGCATATGGATATACAGTGAATAGCCCAAGCTGGACCGGTTATAATAAAACAGAGCTGTTCCAAAAAACATAACCACTGTGAGGTGGGATGCACTTGTGGAGAAGGGCTTGTATCGACCCTCTGCCAAATGGATTTGGAGGATGGCTCTGACAATACAGATATAGACCACAATGAACAAACGGGCTAATGCCAATGAACACACTGGCTGTACAAAGCACAGCTTCATTCAAGGTACTATCACTACAAGACAGTTTTAAGAGTGGGGGTACATCACACATGAAATGACTGATGCCAGTGGGTCCACAGAAGGATAGAGCAGATGTCAGGAGACCGTGGAAAAGTGAGTTCAGAAAACCACATGCCCAGGATCCAGCTGCCAGCTAGAGACAAACTTCTGTTCATAATGACTCTATATAGCAAGGGATGGCATATAGCAATGTATCTATCATATGCCATGGCTGCCAAGAGGACACACTGACCCAACACACAGTCAGAATGAACATTTGTGCCTTGCACCCAGCATAGGATGTGGTCTTGAACTGAAGGACGTTCACCAGCATTTTGGGGATGATAGTCAATGTATAGCAGAAGTCTATGAAGGATAGGTTGGCAACAAGAAAGTACATAGGGGTGTGGAGGTGGCTGTCAGCTGTTGTCACTGTAGTTATCATGACATTCCCCATCAAAGTTACCACATAAATAACAGAAAACACCAGGAAGAAGAACATCTGGAATTCAGGATGGTTTGAGAATCCTAGGAGTCTGAATGTGGTCACTGCTGTTTGATTTGCCCGGACATAGTGGGGATTACAGCAACGTGGTGGGACTCAACGCATGATTGGGTGGTGAATGTCAAG